ATAGCAAGTCATTAGAGATATCAATACACAAATACAAAAATTACTAAGAATCCCTGCAGAACTGACAACAAAACAACAACAACAAAGCATCAATAATGAGATCTAGGAACATCACAGAAAAACTGATAAAAACTAAAGATAAAGAGAAAATCCTAAAAGCAGCCAGAGGAAAAAAGACACATTCTTTTCAAAGGAGTAATAATAATGTTGGTTAATGGCTGACTTTTCAACAGAAATAATGGAAGCTTAAAGACAGTGGAACAATGTTTTAAAGTGCTGATAAAAGCATAATTCAAAAATAATGATAAAAATAAGACATGTTCAGATAAGTAAAAACTGAGATTTGTCACCAGCACTCACTTTTTTAAAATGCTAATGAAAGTCTCATTGGGCAGAAGAAAATAATCCCAGATAAAAGCATGGTAATATAGGAAAACATAAAGAGCAATGGAAAAATGTGGGTAAATAAAAATAAATACTGACTGTTTAAAATAACACCAATAGGTTTTTAAAATATGTAGGTTAAAATTCATGACAAGGATAATACAAATGGTGCGATAAACAGAATTAAAATTCAATAAACTACCTTATTACCCAGTGTTATATTTATCCCCCAAAATGAAAACATGTCCACAAAATGACTTGTCCACAAATAAATGTTTATAGAATCACTATTAGTAATATCCCGAAACTGGAAACAATTCAAATGTCCATCTATAGGTGAACTGACAAACAAATTAAATGGAATACTACTCAGAAAAAACAAACAAAAGAAAGAAAACAAAAACCATGAAAACAATATTGACCGGGTAAAACTATGAATGAATCACACCGACATTTTATTGAGCAAAGGAAACCAGATTTATGAGTATATAATAATGCTATTCTATTTACATAAGATTCTGACCAAGCAGAACTAACTCAGGACAATGATTATCTTTGGGAGTATTAGAAACTGGGAAGGGGAAGGAGGAGACTTCTGGGAGGTTAATAATGCTTAATTTATTAATCTAGTTGCAGATTACATGAATGTATTTTTTTTAAGTATAAAAATATATTTCAAACATACAGAAAGTTATACAAAGAATAACAAAACTGTATAAACCAACAAAACATTACCAATATAGTTGATATGTGTGCTACTCCTTAACTGCACCTCCACCCACTCCACCAGCGATAAACCACTCTCACGAACTTGGTGTTCAGCATTCCTTTGCACCATTTTGTACTTTCACTCTTATATAAGCTCACCTAAACAATATATAGAACTGTTTTTGTATGTTTTTAAACTGTACATAAAAGGTAATTTGATGTTTTTTTCTAAAAGCATCCTAAAAAGGAAACTGTTGAATTGTAGAACTATTGAGCATCAAACTCATCAATCTGAGGAGCAAGGAAATAAAGAGAGGTTGTGGGCACAGTTTAACTGTGAAGTGGACCAAAGGAAGAGCTGTGACAAGTGAGGCCAAAGAAAGAGTTCTTAAAAATAGTAGATCACACTTGATCTAGTTGAGAGGAAACAATAAAGACAAAGGAGAGATGAGGAATCAAGGAAGGAACAAAGTCCTTGAGAAGGTGAGAGGGGATGGGACGTGAAGTGCTGGTGGTTTGTTCTTTGCTAAGGACATAGTGTCTTCTTGCTTTTTAACTAGAACGAAATAAAAGGGCAAAGGCTGTTTGTTTGGTGGTGGAAAGATAAGGGAGTTCCCCCATCCAATGGTTGCTACTTTTTCAATGATCATGAGTCACTCTCTGAAAAGGGTGGATATGGGAAGTGTTAAAACCTGTGAAGAAAAATGGCATGAAATTGCATTGGAAAAGGCTGGAATAGCATCCCGGTATGGTCGGGAGTGGTTAAGAAAAATCAAAGGTTCCAGTAACAAAGGTTAAATGCCCAACAGAAATCCAAACTCTCACAATATAGTATTGATACCGTTGTAATTAACCTAGTTATTAATAACAGGAAAGGAGCAATGGGAAGGCCAAATACTATAGGCATGTCATTTGAGCAGCTTCACCAAGAAGCTAAAGCTTTAACTCCCCAGGGAGCCACCGGTCAGTCCACTCCCTGCAGGTCCCTGGGGGAAGGGACTGGACAGGAAGAAGGATGAGTGCATGTGCAGTAAGTCGGGGTGACCTCGGAAAGATACTTGTCTGTCAGTCACATCTGGGAACAGGTCATTGGCCAAAATGGACATGGCCACTGCAAGGGTGTGGAATTTGGGATATTTAATCCCTTGCACAAAGGAACTCACTCTCTGTGCTCTTATGCTCTTGATTCCTCTGATGCCCCTGGCACTCTGATTGCTCAGGGCGCTCTCCTGTACTTGCCCATATGGCCCACCGCCAGGTGGACCCCACACACAATGGACTAATAGACTGCGGCTAGCCTGATGCTGATCTGGACCCGGTTCCAACATGGAAAGAAAACTCTGGACACTGGCTCTGCTTCTATCTCTGCTGAAACCCCAGCTACACTTCTTCTATGATTGGACTAAGGGAAATGGGGCTTTAGAAACAGAGATGCAATTCCACACAAATAAAAATCCCCCATCCTCCTATGTGAGTCTCAGAAAATTCTTTTCCTCAAGATATTATAAGGACCCCACCCCCAGCACCCAGTGGGGAAGAAGACACCCCAATTTCTCTGATAATAACATGAGCTCAAAAGCAGAAATGATATTATTCATCTCTGATTATGCTGCACAAAACACAGCACACCCTATGTTAGATACTCAAAAGGAAATGAATACATGAACGAAGATTAAATTTTTTCATATTTTCTTAGCATATTTTAATATATCAGTCAAATTCTACAATGGGACTGGGAAAAAAAAAAAAACCAACCAGTATTTTCCAAAATAATGCACCTTAGATGCAAATGCATTTTCCCTTTTTCTCATTTTTAGTTCTGTGTGTTCTTAGAAGAAAAGCAATCTGTGTCTCCCACATAATCAATTCTCCATATTATACAAAGAAATGACATGTTCATCTTCTAAAATAGTAAAACTCATCAATGGCCCAATTCTTCTGGGAAATGAAGAGACAGAATCTATATCCCTTTATTACCACAATTTGTGACATCATAAGGACATAGCTGATGAACGGATTAGAATCTCCTGACAAGGATTAACCTCTTCTCTGTATTCAAGATGTTCCTGTTGCCGGTAAGTCACACTGCACACTGAGTGAAGAAAACCTTAGCTCATGTACAGAATCTCAGGGTGGTCCCAGCCAAACCTAAATGTGCCCCGAACAGAAGCACTGGGTGTCTTAGGAGATGAGTTAGCACACTGTGTTATCATTTATCCATTATGAAATGAAAAGAGATTATAAATGCATTACTTGCAATATAAATTATCTGTTTTACTACACTAAGTTCCTTTTAAAAGGATTCCATTCATGCAAGAAGCACAGCTTTGGTTGGCCGAGCAGTCAGATTTTTGCGCATATAATTCATGTTTATACTTACTATATATGCTGAGTGCGCTTTCCTAGTTCCTGTTGCCACAACCAGACTATAAATGCATATGTTTTTTTACATGCTGAACTACAGTCATTCAGAACTTCAGCTGTCAAGTTTGGAGCTAATATTCTCTTATATGCATTTCATCGTCTACTACCAAAAATAATGATTTGCTGTCAGAAGCTCCTAACATAATATATAAAATGGCAAGATCCATTTAAAAAAAATAATCTAGCTGTTTAACTAAATGCAGCTACATTGTACGTTTTTTTCCTTGAAAACAACCCCTTTCCAATCATTCTCTTCATTAAGTTATTATAAATCCTGGCCAAGCAGTAAAATAGCAGAACATGTTAAATACCAACAAACCACAAATAGCAGTGTTTGCAGGGAGGAAAAGGAGAAAAAATCTGTTTCATGCTAGACCATCCTTTGAGGTACTGTCATTTTAAGTGTGGCGGCATCAATTATTTCTCCTACGCCAAAAGGTCTACATATTTAAAGGTTCTGTAGGTCCCCAAAGAAAATAAGCAACCGTTTCTCTGTATCATTAAACACAACAGAAGGTCCTTTGCTGGTTTTAAAATACCAGCAGAATTCTGAGTGTGAATATTAAGGTTTAATATTTCCATTTCAAGAGAAGCAAAGAGTTGTTCTCTGGCCAAAAAGTATTGGGACCATACTTCAAGTTGTCAACTGCACAATATTTCTAGGGCCAAAGACTAGCTCCATTGCAGAATCCTGTGATCCTAGAGTCTGAAGAAATCCTGGGGATCTCCTAGTGACTAGTCCAATACCCAAGGCAGGAATTTTTCCCCCAGGACCCCTGACAGAGGGTCAGCCTATGTTTCAATTACTCCTCGGGTGGGGGAGTTCTCAAAAGAAGATTCCCAAGGGGTATGATGAGAAGGCTAGAACCAACCACTCAGACAGGGAGTAAGGCTCCAGTCAGTAAGCCTATAAGATGCAAACAGCGTTGCCAAACACTAAAAGCAGACTTCCAAAAGAGTCATATTCAGAATCAGCAGTCATAGGGGGTGCAACGTTGAGGTGTAGACCCCCAGTTCTGGGACCATCCGAGATCTTTTCATTGGCCTGGGGAGTAGCTCCTACCCTCAGGGAAGCAAGGTGACTTCTCCCACTGATTTCTTAAAGTAAGAATTGACTCTTTAGGGCTCACAGCAAGGGTTTGTCAAGCTCAGAAAGGACCACATTCCTTCTGAAAACCAAGACAAGGGACCCCCTGGTGGAACTGCTAATGCTTGAAATACTCTTAACTTTGGTCTTAAGATCTTCACTCGAGTAAATCAATACATTCCCAGCTCTTTTTATAAAAGGTGAATTTAGGCTGTGCTCTAACTGAATTTGGCTGGGGTAGGGTTGATGTGTGGGGTTGCTGGTTTAAGCGCAGACCTTCACCCCGCGGTGCAATCTGGCTTACCCTCCCAGGAAAGAGGCGAGCGCGCCGGGCTGAGCTACCAGCAAGCACATCCCCCCCGAGCCGGTGCCCGGGACGGGGCGGTCCGGCCCTTACCTGTCGATGCTGATCACGCACAGGGTCATGATTGAGGCCGTGCAGCACATGACGTCCATGGCGATGAAGACGTTGCAGAAGAAGTGGCCGAAGATCCACTTGCCCCCGATAAGGTCAGTGACGCTGACAAAGGGCATGACCGCCACGGCCACCGAGAGGTCGGCCAGCGCCAGGGACACGATCAGGTAGTTGGAGGGCTGGCGGAGCTTCTTGACGAAGCACACCGAAATCACCACCAGGCAGTTGCCGGCGATCGTCAGCAGCGTGATGAGCGTCAGGATGGAGCCGATCACAACTTTCTCGACTCTGCCGTAGTTGATCTGCTCCCCGCAGCCGGAGGCATTGTCCGGGGGCCCGTCCCAGGTGGGCACCGGGCTGGCGGTCACCTCGGGGACCCCGCGCAGCAGGTGCGGCGCCCAGGAGCTCGCGACCGGGCCGGCGCCGTCGGGGCTCAGGTCCGGCAGCCCTACCTCTGGCAGGAGGACTGAGCGGAGGTGCCCGTAGAGGTCCGGGCGGCCGCTGCTGTTAACGTCCAT